TTTGACTGTCATATAACAATCAGGTGATTGTGAAAAGCCTTTTATCATTGTTTGTACACTGTATTAATGACAATGTAAAACGGCCTCTCAATTATGCTGAAGAGCACTAGAGTAGAATAATCGGTTAAGGAAAACATCGTTTCGTTAAACAACACTGACTTTACCAAAAGTATTTAAGAATTCATTTTATTATTTGGCTTTATGTTTCCTGATTCAATATCTAAATAAGAATGTATTTGCGGCATTTCCTGTTGTAATGAAACAAGTAAGGTAATCTTTCCACAGAAGGATACAGAATGAGTTTGTAAGGCATAGGAGGTAGGAAGCAATGACTACCGTGTGACCAGTCTTTTGTTCCTTCCTCACTAGCCTGAGAAACAGGAAGCAGTGCTCATTATGCATTATTGTGACTGACAGGAAATGCAAGGTCTTCAAGAAGAGACCTACTTAGCATCAGTCAACAGGCTCAACTGATCACTAACAACAAAGTGAAGTGATTGGCCTGATGGACTCCTTAATTTTGCTTTACATGTGGTGTACTGTATGAATATAGGGAATACAACAAAAATGAAAATCTAATTTCCCAGTCACTTACTAGTACTCTGAATTTCCCTGCACATAATTGTGTTGTTTTTTTTTCCGTTGGTGCAATGGGATGGACCGAACCCTGCAGATTGAACCGATAAGCTCTAAGATGATTACTGTGATGTTCTCGGGAAAGCAATGTTCTTGAAACTCTCTGAACGAGAGATGTTGAATGATCACTTAAGCACGGATGAGTGGTACATGTTGAGTAGCTACATTTTAATCCAGCACCTTAAATTATATTGAACTTGTTTATAGGTCTCCTTCTGTCACTCCTGTCTTCTTGGTTTCCAGTTGTTTGTCAGACTAAAAGGTTCAACAGCTTTTTAAAGGTGTCTAAATGACATCATCTTCATTGGAGGCTTTTGTATACTGTATAAGCTAGGTCTTTTAATAATAAGAGCACCGTTTTTCCTCTCCAGACATCCTTAATAATGATAACATGCACTATGAAAAACAGTGAATCCAATCTGGAAAACTGAATACTAAATTAAATATTGCATACATTTCCTCAGGGGCATTTTTGGAACTGAAAAAGCTGTCAGTTGCTAAGTGAACTTTATTAACCTCTTTCCTAGTTAATTAAAATCTTGATCTACAGTATGTTGTGGTTTCAATTAATGAGACTGGCATTTACCCAAGACACAATTCTTCAAACCTGGTTATGTTTTAAAATGAAGATATCCATGGAGATAATTTCTGGTATACATTATACAAATGTCTTTGTATTCCTCTTTAGTTTTCAGTCACTGCTTTGAATTAATATTCTGACATGCTCTAATTTTCACCTTCCTGTCCTACAACAGTTTTTTACCTGATGACAAAAACATCTTAAAAGCTGTTCCTCATATCTTTCTTTGGTATATCCAGTTTTATTGCAAAAAAGACAAAATATTTTATAAAGATTCTTATAAACATAAACATGAGCATGAACATATAACATCTTTTATAACTTTTAATAATTAAAAAAATATTAATTCCAGAGTTTGAACACATTTTCTTGTTTTCAACCTCTTTTTTTAACTTCTGTTCCTTACTAAAATGTGAGGACTTTAACAGAATAAAGTGAAATTTAAGTGGAGAACGTGAAAAGCACACATTTCTGTTTCACAAAGTGTTTGCTGTAGCCAATGCCTTTTACACTTCCACTATTTAAAATGATTTTATAAATTGGCCCTGGTGTGAATCTGTGCCCTGCAAGGGACTGGCGTCCTGGTCAGGGTATCCTGCCTTGTGCCTGTTGCTGACCAAGAAAGAATTCAGGAACCCCGTGACCCAATATTGAATAAAACCGAAAATGGAAACACCTTTGTACAATGATTTAATTATAAAGTCAACTATTAAAAAATGAAAAAAACTTGCAGATCTGTTTTCATTTTGAGATTATGCTCATTGCTGGTACAGGCTCTGGTATTGAGGTACTGCTGAAATTAAGAACTTCATGGAGTAGTAAAACCTTTGAAAACGTATAACAAAGCTGACCATACAGTAAACATAACACTACTGCATCCTGTGTGTGAACAGCACAGTGTGATGGTGGTTGGAGTACCTACCGCACAGCTGGTGGGTCCTGGGTTACAATTTCTCCAGGGCACATTTTGTGTGAAGTCTGCATGTTTCTTGTGCTTCTTTTTTCTCCCACAGTCCAAAGACTGCTCTTAGTGTTGACTAAATCACTACAAAAGAAGTCCCCTGAAATGAGCCAGCAGTCCATCTAAGGTTTATCCCACTTTGTGCCTATTGCTTGGTAGGATAGATTTCATCCTACAATGGCCACTTATTGTACTAATCAGCTATTCAAAATGCATTGTCTAGTTAAATTACAGCATAAAACACCAGTTCAGCATGTACAACCATTCACGCACAACACACAAGAACCCATATGACAAATGCTTTATTGAAAAAAAAATGGTACTGTTTGTTGGAGAAAATTTTAATTCACAGTATTTTTCCATCAATTTTGAATAGTGATGAAAATGGCAACAGAACATAAGCAGGCACAAATGCTTCTCTCAAACTGAACTGATCTTTATATGCAACCGACACAGAAAAGGAGTTTTCATGTTACAAACCTAAGCCAAGTTAATGCTTTTAATAGGGAGTATACATGAAGAATATGCGTAACACCAGTAATAGTATCACTGAAGTTCCAGTTTTTTTTTACTTTGTTATAAACCTAAAAAGAAAACTTCAGTTTTCTATATACTTAATACATTACCACGTATGGCTTCTTAAACCCACCGGGAAATTCCACAATCCAGTAAGTGCAAGTATAACAGTTCCATAGATAAGATATTTGATCATTTGATCCAAACCAAATTAACTTAAAATTAAAACCAAGGTCTTTGAATTTCCCCTATTTAATATACACCCTTCATGTTTTTTTGTTTCTCTCTGTACAATAACAGGCCACAGTGATAAAAACCAACTGATCATTGTATTGTTTGATGTAACTGAAAAACTGATTAAACCCAAGTACCATATTTTATTAAACATATCAAATATGACTATTTTTAACACTCTACTGCCATCTCTGGGCTGAACTCTGCTATTGCACTCTGCAAAAAACATGGAAAAAAAACCCTCTGTACTCCACCCCCAACAGACAACATAATAAATTATACATTCTACTATTGAGGATCTAAATTGTTTATCGTATAAAAATAATGTATCACTGCTGATTGAATAAAGAACATGTAGAGATCTAATGAACATAGTGTTTAATGTTTAAACTACATGGACAGCAGTAAAGTCTGCTCAAAGTGGAAACTTTAAAGGGCTCAATTTGCTATGCATACAGTTGTATGCAAACGTCTGGGCACACTTGGTCAATTTGTATCTTTAACTGACTCTCTAATTGAAAAAAAGTTAACCTCTGCAGGACACAAACTTAAAATTATATATTTCTGTATGTATCGGCAAAAGTTTGGGTCCCCTTCCAATTGATTCATTAATATGTTTTTAAAGCCTCAAAACTTGATCGACTCACTAGACCTTAAATGAACCCAGGGGAAGACAATTCCAGAGCTGAATATATACTCTGACCCTTCTAACCTCTCAGGATGTTGTGCCTACTCTCAACAACCATGGGCTCCTCTAAGCGGCTGACTGAGGACTTGAAAATAAAGATAATTGACTCTTACAAAGCAAGGGAAGGCTATAAAATGATATTTAGACACATCCAGCTCGGAATTTCCACTGTAAGAAACATCATTAAGAAATATAAGTTAAGGGGAACTGTTGAAGTCAAGGCAAGATGTGTAAAATCCAGAAAAATCTCTGATGGAACTGCTCATAAAGTGGTCAGTCATGCAAAGCAGAACCAACATATCACAAAGAATCAGCAGAAAGATTTAGTCGACACTACTTGTCCACAGTATAGCGTTGCTTACACAAAAATGATCTGCAGGAAACATTTCCTAAGACCTCATCGCCAAAGGCAACATCTAAAGTATGCAAAACAATACTTAGATAAGCCAGAAATGTTTTGGAACAAAGTGCTGTATCCTGATGAAACAAAAATAGAACATTATAAAACTTTAAAAATAGAACAAAAACATTTGGAGAGACACAGGTGAAGCATTTGAAGAACACCTTGCCAACCGTTAAGGATTGGGGTGGATCTATTGTGCTTTGGGGTTGCGTATTAGCCAATGAAACAGGAAATATTGTAGAAGAATGGATTCAACTAAATATCAATAATTCCTAGAAGCTAATGTCCCAGAGTCAGTGAAGACATTGAAGCTGAAAAGAAGATGGATATTTCAGCTAGACAATGATCCAAAACATACATCAAAATCAAACATGAAGTACTTACAGGAAAAAAAGATTAAGGTTTTGGAATGGCTTTCACAGTCCCCAGATGACTATTATTAAAAATCTGTGGGGAGCTCTCAAACATGCAGTGAATCCAAGAAGACCTAAGAATGTTTCTGAGCTAGAAGAGGTCTGCAAGGAAAAGTGGGAAAAATTCCTAAAATTAGAACAGAAAGACTCTTAACCGTCTACAAATAAGATTTGGAGGCTGTGATTTCTGCCAAAGGAGGTATTACCAAGTACTGACTGACAGGGTGCCCAAACCTTTGCACATGCAACATTCACAGTTTTATTTTTCAATGTTAAATTCAGTAAATAAAGAGTAATTATGCATTAAAAAGAGCTGAAATATATCCTGCAGAGGCTGCGTTAACTGCTTTTCACTTAGAGAGTCAGTGAAACATGCAATTTGACCAAGCTTTTGCATATAACTGTATATACTAATGCACTGATAGAGTGACTTTTTCATTTTCCAGTGTCCAATGTGTTTTGGTGTCAGAAATACAAGTGTTCCAAATATAACTGATTTGGTAAATACAAACAGACTATGTCAAGCATAAAAAACAAACAACTGCACAAGGAAAACGTACAAACATTACTTCAATTTAGAATACCAAGTACATTATGGAGCTTTCACAATATATTAGTATTTTTTTTATTTTGCTCACATTTTATTAAAGATTAAATAAAGCCCTGCAGTCTTAAGTCAAAACCAAAAACCTGATGTGAAGTCCAGGGAGTCCTGACGTGGAGTTGTTCTCTTTTTAAGTGAGCTGAAGGATAAACAGTGGCATAAAGGAACTCTAGGGCCTCTGAAAAAACAGGCCTCTTCCAATTGAAAAGCTATTTTCAAACAAGGATCCCCTCAGTGCAGTACAATCCCACCTGGAACCCTGTCCACCAGCGCAGATCTACTCTCTTCTCCCGTATTGCATAGCAGCTATATCTCCAAATTCCTTCCCATCAGCTGGGGCTTCTTCGCTCTATTAACTCCTTCAGAAGCATCAGATTTTAGAAAATGAAGGTCCCTTCTGATGGATAAGTAAGGAAAAGCCGATTTCTCTTCCTTCGAGGTGCTAACTTTGCAACCTTCCTCCAACCTCTCACATTGCTTCTCAACAGCAATCTGTATTGGTCTGCTCTCTTCTAAAAAAAAAGGGAGGTCTCCTTCCATTGCTCTTTCCTTGGGGATCTGGAATCTCTCGTCCGTAGGGTTTCCTTGAAAAAGGATGGATCTTGCAGAACAAGAAAGATTCTTCATTGAATCTGAAATATCCCACATCTCTTCTGCTGCATCATTATTATACCCTGTTTTACCTTGAGCTCCTGTTTGATCAGATGTCTCAGAGACACAGCAGCCTTCTACAAGAGTGGACTCACTCCCTTCTCGACCTCTTACTCTTGTGTGTCCTCTTGGCCCCTTGCCTTCTGTCTCACCCACCCCCATCCTGTCCATTTCTAGACCCTCAGGAGCACCACCTCCAGGTGTTTGTGTGCTGTGATCAGAAGGCTCATCTGGGACTTGAGGGCAGGACCTGAGGAGGTGACCCTCTACATTCATGGCGTACTTCTTCAGAGCCCACTGCCGTCTCTGCTTCTTCACGGACTCCAGCTTCTGCAGCTCCTTTGGAAGCTCAAGACCAGTGTTCTGGGTAAGGAATGGGTCATTGTATTATACTCCAAGCTTTTCTCCGTTTTAATTTAAGCTTACCAACAATTTTAAATTGACATACTCAGCCTACTGATTGATAAAACTTTGCCACACCATGCCTTTTTGAGGATATAACTAAGGGTTGTATAGTCACTTAACTTCTGCCTCTCTCATGATTACAAAGTTTTCAAAAGATCTCCAAAAGGTATAGTTTAAATGTGTTTTTACCACAGTTACTAAATAATTAATTGGTTTCTTAACACAAGGTTATGAAGATCAGCTGCCAAACACCAACATAAGTGTTAGGGTATGATGGAACTTTGTTCTGGTGTGCTATTTGTGACCATTGCGGTATGAAATCATCCCTACCTCATAGCCTGTGTGCACACTGATAGGGTCGTCTCGGTATGCCCCCAAGTAGGAATCCACCAGGGCAGTGTAGTCGAGCATCAGGGCATCCAGCAGGGCCAGGCGCAGGGGGAGCAGGTGAGTCACTGAAAGGGCCATCACTTTCAAGAACACTTCTGGACATGGGCGCATGTACCATACCTGCAGTCAGGTAGGAAACAAAGCATGTTATTGCACGATTTGCAGCAGGAAAAGAAAACGTTCAGATATTCGAAGAGAGCCATCTCACAGAGGGTAGGATCAAGTTGAACTAATCCTAACATGAGTTGCCAACTGTGATTGGGGTGTCCTGGCAGCAAATAACTGGTAGATCACCACTAGAGAAAGGGTGGAAAGATTCCCCTCAGCATTTGGTGACAACTGCTACTTGCTACAGTATATTCCTGCAAGCTTGCTGTGCCTTAGGAGAGAGGTGTTGCTGCTCCAGTCAGTGTGTTAACTCCCCTGCAAGACACTGTGGAGTTCTGCGGCAATTCAAAAGACAACTGTCTGACAGAAGGACATGTCTGCAAGTCTTCATTCACCTGTGCAGTACAGGGGTTGTTGCTTCAATTATGCATTTCAAAAATGTTTTGCAGAGGGTAACAAAAAATACAGTTGCAAGAAAAAGTTAGTGAATGCTTTGGAATTACCTGGATTTCTAAATTACTCATAAAAATGTGGTCTGATCTTCAACTAAGTCACAATAATAGATAAACACAATCTGCTAAAACTAATAACACAAACAATAGTACTTCTTCTTGTCAATATTGAATTGACATTGTTTAAACATTCACAGTCCAGGCTGGAAAGAGTATGTGAACCCTTGTATTTAGTAACTGGTAGAACCTCCTTTAGCAGTAATAACCTCCACCAAACTTTTCCTGTAGCTTCTGATGAGACGTGCACAATGGTTAGGAGGAATTTTGGACCATTCCACTTAACAGAACTGTTTCAGTTCATTGATATTTCTGGGATTTCTTGCATGAACAGCTCTCTTCAGGTCATGCCACAGCATCTCAGTTGGGCTGAGGTCTGGACTCTGACTTGGCTATTCCAGAACATGAATTCTCTTCTGTTTGAGCCATTTTGCTGTTGATTTACTCCTGTGTTTCGGGTCATTCTCTTGTTGCATCACCCAACTTCTATTAAGCTTCAGCTGATGGACCACTACCCTGACATTCTCCTGTGAATTTTGAATTCATTGTTCCCTCTATGATAGCAAGCTGTCCAGGCCCCGAAGCAGTAGAGCAGCCCCAAACCATGATGCTCCCTCCACCATGCTTCACGGTTGGGATGAGGTTTTGGTGTTGGCGTGCAGTGCTTTTTTTTTCCTTCAAACATAGCGTTGTGCATTTCTGTCAAAGAGTTCAACTTTTGTCTTATCCGTCCACAGAACATTGTCCCAGAAGCATTGGGGAACATCCAGGTGGTCTTTTGCAAACGTGAGACGTGCAGCAATGTTTTTTTTGGAGAACAGTGGTTTCCTCCATGTTGTCCTTCCATTAACACCTTGTTCAGTGTTTTTCTTATAGTGGACACATGAACAGATTTTGGCAAGTTCAAGAGATTTCAGCAGGTCCTTTGCTGTTACCCTAGGGTTCTTTTTCACCTCCTTCAGGATTGCACGCTGCGTGATCTTGCCGTGATCTTTGCAGGACACCCACTTCTAGGGAAATAGCAACAGTACTGAATTTCCTTCATTTGTAGACAATTTGTCGTACTGTGGGTTGATGAACACCCAGGCCTTTAGAAATGGGTTTGTTGCCTTTTCCAGCTTTATGCATCTCTACAATTCTTCTTCTAAGGTCCTTTTGATATTGATATTTGATATTTATTTTGATCGGGGCATGGTTCACATGAGCAGCTCTTTCTTGAGAAGAGCAGACTCTGTCAGTAACCAACCTTTGTGTGGCTTTTCTATAGGGCAGGGCACCTCCAACCCACACCTCCAATCTCATCTCACTGATTGGAACACCTGACTCCAATTAGCATTTGGAGAAGTCATTAGCCTAGAGGTTCACTTACTTTTCCAACCTAGACTGTGAATGTCGAACTCAAATCAGTTATCATGAAGTTCTTCGAGAGGCCAGTCATGAGCCACATAAAGTCCAGCCTCCCAACCCCTCTGGACCCCCTTCAGTTTGCATACCGCCCCAACCCGTCTACTGATGATGCTGTATCTCTTCCCCTTCACATGGCCCTCTCCCACCTGGATAAGAAAGACTCTTATGTAAGAATGCTTTTCATTGACATCAGTTCAGTGTTTACTACAATCAACCCTTAGAAACTGACAGAAAAATTGAGCTTGCTGAACCTTAACACCTTCCTCTGTAACTGGATTCTGGACGTTCTCACCGAAAGACCTCTGAAATTCCAGCTCAGAAATAACATCTCCAGCACCATCACAATGAGCACCGGAACCCCCCAGGGCTGTGTGCTCAGCCCACTGCTGTTCACACTGATGACTCATGACTGTACTGCCACAGTTCAAACTGCATCATCAAGTTTGCTTATGACACGACAGTGGTGGGCCTCATTAGCAACAATGATGAGTCACCATACAGAGAGGTGGAGCAACTAGTGGACTGGTGCACAAACAACAACCTATCCCTTAATGTAATCAAAACAAAAGAGATAATCATTGACTTCAGGAGGGCCTACACTGATGAACTTCCCACTGACCTGTACATCAACGGCTCCCCTGTGGAGACAGTTAGAAGCACCAGGTTTCTTGGTGTACACACTACAGATGACCTCACTTGGTCCCTCAATACCACCTCCATAGCCAAGAAAGCACAGCAGCATCTCTATTTCCTGTGGCGACTGAGGAGGGCAAACCTTCCCCTGCCCATTCTTACCACATTCTACATAAGCACCATTGAGAGCACCCTGACCATCTGTATCACTGTTTGGTTTGGGAATTGCAATGCTTCAGACCGTGAGACCCTGAAACGAACTGTGGAAACAGTTAAAAACATCATTGGAACCTCCCTCCCTTTCATTTGTCATCTATCACAAACACTGCATACACAGGGCCTCCCATATAGTATATGACCTCTCCCATAAAGTGCCTTCGTATCATCTGGAAAAAGATATCACAGTGCCTGGGCTTGCTCAACCAGACACTGTAACAGCTTTTTCCCGCAGGTTGTCAGGCTCCTCAACACCCTGGGATCTACCTGCTCCCACTCCAGTTCCAGAAACAGGTTTTAAATTCCCCCAGTGTTTTGTGCATATTGTATTATATATTTGCCTTAGTGATTTGCACTCTCTGCACTTAGCACTACAGTATGTGTATCCTGTCTACAATGTCTATGTCAGTGTCCAGTCTGTCCTGTCTGTATTTGCACCGTGGAACAGGACGATATTTGGCTTGTGTATGGCTGGAATGACAAATAAACATGATAATAAAAAGTGAACTTGAACTTAAAGGATGTGTTCAGTACTGACAAGAAGTACAATTGTTTGTATGTTATTAGCTTAAGCAGATTGTGTTTGTCTATTATTGTGACTTAGTTGAAGATCAGACCACATTTCTATGAGTAATTAATGCAGAAATCCAGGTAATTCCAAAGGAATTCTAGCAACTAATCTTGAGTTTGATATTTATAAAAATGCTACAATATTAAAACTACTGAAAATGTACAAAAACAACTGCAATATACAGTACATTATATATAGTCCAATTTACATCAAAGGTTTGAATTTTAAGCACAATAAAAATGAAATTGGTGCTGAAGCAACTGCAAGATATTTATAAAAAGCAAATATCTAGGTTTAAATAAACCCAGTCAAAATGAAAAACTGATTGCCGTACAAAAGAGAATATCTCAAAAAGAGTAGATTTAACACTAAGAGCACAAAATGACATATTCCATTTCACCAATGAAAAAATTATTTGAAATTTATAATTAGAAAAGGGGCAGAGAGAATTTTAAATGGCAACAGTCATTATTCAACAAAAAATTTAAATAAATGCAAGACAATAATGTAAAATATCTTAGTCAAAAAACTTAATCTGTTTGTTCATTCACATTTCTTCAGCCCCTACTAAAATAAAGGTTCTGAACCTGTTGAAATCTGTAATCATTATTATTATCATCATGTCCTGCCTCTCGGGGACTTCATACCTTGTTAAGGTCAGTTTTAATCTTCAGGGAGGAGAGACAGAACGGCATTTTCAGGTGAAGGTTTATGCACTCTTGGAGTGTGCTGATCCGATCTGGCAGAAAACCACCCGTTTCTGCGTAGAAGTACAAAAGATCTGCAACCTAAAATGAAAACGAAGATAACTGTAGTTCCTAGGATCTGGGACATGCGGGCCTGTCTGTTCTCTTCACAGTGGCTGAACTACTGTAACTGATAACATATATACCTGGAACAAACTTAATTAATCACAAACAAGGTTGTGCACATGGGGACAAAGGAGTCCTTCTATTAAAGAAAGACAATATTTGCCCATTTAAATTCTTAGTGGAAGATAAAATAATCAGTGGCTGACAAATAGTGGTGAAAAATTCTGTTCACAATATTCTTTATTATTTGTCTAACTACTGTATGTATAGGTGCTCCACCTGATTGACCACAGCATACTGTTTCAGTGCAGTACCTATTCTTGATTCATTCTGTTGCCTTCAAAGCCTGTGAGGTTTATTAGCACTTGTAGAAGAAAAAACAAGACAGCTTATTTTTTGCAAACTGATTTTGCAGCAGTTTGTTTTTTTACCTGTGTATCAAAAACATTTGTCAAGGTTACTCCAAACTGATGGTACAAGCAGCCCGAGATGCACCGACAATCATGAACAACCTACGAGACAATTTCAGTTTAAATTACAGCCGTTTCTGATAACCTGATAGCTTGGTCCTGGAAATCACCACATTACAGAAAATCACATCATTGATTCAATAAGAATCAAGGGGATAGGAGGTAGAGAGTTTGGTTTGTTCACAAACACAATGGTATTTTTTCTATATTAACTGATTATTACTTTGAATGCATTACTTCTGCATAATATGTATTTTTAAGATACATTTAAACAGAAAGCAGTAAAAGAATAGATAAATTAAGGGATAATATGTATCTGTCTTTACATCGCTAAGTGATTAGATATTCTGCAGTGGAGGAGGGTGAGATTAGCTCTCGTAATCCCAGTTTCAACAAAGACTTCTTTCCTTCTGAGGGTATGATATAATAGTCTATAATTTGGCATAATAAGTCTCAAAAAGGTTTACGGTCTGCTGTAGCTCACCTTCAATATGCTGTTATTCTCCAGAATCATTGACAACCCATTCTTAAATGCTTTTGCCCCAAGGTTCAGGATGTCAAAGAGATACACCATGTTCTTTGTGGCAATCTGTGAAATAAAACCTCCTTGAACAATGTGAGAGTTTTTGCTACATCTAGAATGCATTTTTTTTCTTTTAGAACTGGCAGCCATTTTTCCCATCTCAAGCACCCCAATTTGGAATCAACACAGTTCAGCACTGCAGGGGTTAGCAGAAAAAAAGGCAAAAGTGAGAGCATACACCTTCTAGAATCTACGCTTCTAGGTCACTGCTTCTCTTGCTTTTCTTCTATCACAGCCTGCCAAAAACACTTAACAAGAGAACAAGGCCTTTGAAGAATGGACAGATGCTGTCCTCACTGGTAACAGTGTGGCCACTCAGACAACTGACAAGCAAAGGGGGGGGGTCACCCCGGCCAATGTGAGCCCACCAAACCTAGATTCACAGTTACAGTATAATGTGGCATAGACCAGATTCAAACCCGTAATGGCTGGACAATAGGAGACAAACAGGCTTAACCAATTGAGAAACCTGTTTGAAGCATCTCCGTAGAGCCCCAGTCTGGATCTCTTGTGGACTACAATCACTGCAAAATGGCAAAAGCTCAATGGAGAAAGCCCAGCATTCCATAATATCAGAATAAGTTATTTGTTTTTTACTTTTTTATTATATATCTCATTGATAGGCTCTATGTCCCACCCCATAAAATTCCAAACAGTTTAATTCATGTGACATTCACCGTAAAACTAAATGAATAAACAGATGAAAAGCAGAACACAACTATCAGACGTGTCAAACCTCCTTCCAATTTACCTGGATCCAGCACAGCCTTTCATGCTGAAAGAGACCAATTCCATTGGCCCCGACTCCAATGACTTGCTGCTTCTTAATGTGCATTATCTAAGGAGAGTGAACACACATATGAGAATTCTTCCAGTGCACAGGTGTGTAGGGACTGCAGAGAAGGATATCACGTGGTGTAGAGATTTTTATAGCCATGAAAGGTAACCAGCAGTAAAACTAATACATTCAATAACCATCTGAACACGGGTAAGTATAGAACTGGATTCTAGTCAAGTCCCTCTACCTTCTTAACCTTTTCAGTTTTCACTTGGTGTCAATATCAAACAACTAAAATGATCAAAACCTTGGCAAGTATACCCTATCCCTGGAGAAGAATTCTCTTAATGCAATAAATATTTTAAAATACACACACACGGTGCCAATACTTCTGAACTTTATAGCTGCATGTTTTTAAAATTTTAAGAAGCTGGGGAACACTGTAAAAATTCAGTCATATACTGTCTGGAGTGTGTATAATTACTATACAAAAGCAGTTTCCCCCAACATTTTAATTGAAAGAAATTCATTTTATGAGTACTTTGTTATTACAATGGCATACAGTACGTTTCCCTGTATACTATAACTAAGTTCAACCATATTGCATGCTGCATGTGCCAATTTGCATACTGACACTGCTTCCTGTTTTTCAATTGTGTGAAAATATAGTTGTTCCTTTATTGACAGGATGACTTATTTTCTCACTTAAGTTATGCAACCAGACAACATAAGAGTGCATCATTACTGACGCCAACATGACGAACTGCATAGTGCAATACAGCAAGCTGTTACACGCTAAAAAGAAAACTTTACTCACAGCAGGTCCAAATTTCTCAAGAAACTGATCAACGACTACATAGTGCACAAATTCACTGTCATCATCTGAGGGAAAGAAATCATATTTAAACACAAATACTGTATTTTGTTATTTGTCCAAGCAATAGACCTATTTCTAACAATTTTAAATTTATGAAATGTCAGGAGTCTTTTTTATGTTTTTATGACTCTTTTCTTATTATTTGTAAAACTAAAAAGTGACTCCACAAAATATGCCTTGCTACTCATACTGTTAACTAATTATCTACTGGTACTGGTGTTGGCCTTTGAAGAGATGACGGCACAAATACACTGTGGGTCTATCTGAAGTGTAACGACATTCAGACTTGATAGGTTAGTCCGTGGCCACCTCAGGTCAGCATTTTATAAAACCCACTGACACTTGAGATTTAAGGTGGCTTAGTGCGTACATACCTGTGACTATAGGAACAAACTCAAAAAAGGTACTTTTCAGGCTTGAAAGCACGCTGTAAACAGACTTGACAGAAAGAGGTGATAAAACATGAACAAAACAAAACCGTGATTTCCATTCCTTGCAGTACTGTTGGTACTATATTTCTTCCTTCAAAAAGTATAAGCTACGTAAGAACTTGGGGTCTACATGATTTGACAGGGACTGATGTTAAGTGGTTTATCCACCACTTTCTGTTTCCAACAGTATTGACAAAGACTTAAGAAGTAAAATACTCAAAATGGAGTGATGTAATTATGTGATGTAAACTTCAAAACACAGTGGTATTAAGAGCACTGCTCTTCCTGATTTCTATCGATGATACTGTATAGATTCTGGCATACTTAGCAAACTAGTCCAGGCTTGTGGACTATAACAAAATAGAAAGATAAGCAAATATTGTAGAAACTCCAAAATTCAGAAAGATATACACAGACTGAATTCTGGACTGGACAAACACCCTGCATGCATGTACAGTACATAAAAGGAACTACAAATCTAAAATGCAGAACACTGAGCTTGAAAAAGCTACTTATGGGATATATGGGCATCAACAGAATTATGTAAATGTATATATAATGTTTTTTAAAAGGACAATACATATTACATACAACTGCATAAACTTCAAAAACATGAACAACTGTTGATCAGGTTTACTACAAAAAGTAGCAGTCATCTTCCCTACAGGAAATAACATTTCACAGAACCAAAAAAAATATAATTTCAGCAACGGTGATTCTAACTGCTAACAACTATTACCCTCAAGTAATGCAAATTGCCATTACATGGTAAACGTCTGAGGCAGATGCTTGCTGAAAAACCTAAAAGTCCACAAATTTATTTTTGGACAACATGTCTGTGAATCTGTAGGTGGGTCAGAACTGGTTCTGGATTATCACAATGTGCAGCAGCAGTCAACAGAACATACACAATGATAATTTCACAGGAAATCTTCCAAGCAGTCTTGTAACAGGACTTCTTTTTTTCCTAATTATAAGTAATTCAAACGGTTCCCAACCACGACTACTGTTAATCTATTTAATTGGATAGTTTAACTGAATATCTTTTTTCACATCTCTTAAACATCCTTAAAATATAGTATTGATTAAAACATGTTGAACTTGTTGATTTAAAGTGTTCATTATCCCAATGCAACTGTACCTTTGTTTCCAAGATTTGCTCACTAGAGAATTTAGGACTGCTCTGTTACCAGCATGCTCACATTGGTAATATAGTATGAAAGGGCACACCAGGACCAGATGTATCTTCACATGTTAGACCAGCCCTGTCCCTACAATTGCCATCCCTGAGCTGCATGAAAGAGGTCACGTCAATTAAAGGTTAGCCTAAGACCACTTTTTCATTTTGGGTTCTGATATGGCCACCTTGTGAAATGTGAAACAGGTCTGTGATCCATTACATACATACTGTACTCCACAAAATTTTGAATTATGTATTGACTTGTTTAGAGGTGAGATTGTAAGAAAAGATGCAATTCAACCTATCCAGATTGATTGGTTGTTCTTTGCTAAGCAATCCGAAGGTCTCATCTCATCCACCAGGTTGTCAGCTTTACCAACAATGCAATCCCCCAAAACCCTTTGGATAAAAAAGAACTCAGATATCAGAAATGTTGTGAATAATTAGTCTCTAAGTCTATACCTCTTATTTCTCTGCTCAGATAACTGTACAGTACAGCAGACTGACATTTCTGCATGTAAATCATACCTACCTGGAATTATATATTTTCTGCAGGGCTGACACTCTGCGACTGCCAACTGACCATCGGTTACCTGGAGCTCTTCAGAAACAGGTTCACACTTCCCTGACTTTTCTCTGAACAACAGTGCAAAATTAAAGGGAACACATTCACACCTCCTTTTGCTTTCATAATACAGAAATGTTGTCTGTATCTTCACTGGAGATTAAACAGACATGAAAGTAAGATGCGGAATCAACTACAGTTTGTAACTCAGCTGCAACTCCATGGTTAATTTTATCAAAATACTGCTAACATCCTCTACTTCTTTAAAGCCTCTCACTATAAGGAAGAATGTGTAATATCACAAACAAATTACTTTAAACTCTTAAAACACTCTTGATCTGAAAACAGTTTACTTTGCTACGTACCCATTTTCTGGACCACTGCAATTTTTGGAGAATGGTAACTCAACTGTGAACAGAATATACAATGTAAACAGATTAAATTTCTTTTGAATCAGAGTCCAATGATACCTCTCATTAATTCTTCCAAGTTTTACAGTGCAGCGCCAAGACAGAAATAATTGGAAATGTAAATTAAAATCTAGATGGGATTTTGGGAAGACGGGAAGATGTCAATTTTGTAGAAAATACATAGAATAATATTTAGGTTACTGGGTAAATTTGCTTATCCATGTATTACTACTATATAAAACTAGTAAATAAGTACATTATAGAACACAAGGTAAAATTAATTACTCCTTGATCCAAGAAAAAACAGTAAGGTCTGAGCATTAAAAAATATACCATTCTTGATTTTTTCACCCAAGAAAAGTGTTGGTCCCAGCAGCTTCCTTCCAGTATCAGCATTTACAACTGAATTTAAAAACAAATGGGGAAAAAAATGTTTATCAAATCCAATAACATAATTTCAATCTTTGACTTTTCCTAAAAAAAAAGTAGTTTTAGTTTGTTTAAACTCTTAGGACACAACTGTAGGGGAATTACAGTGCTCTTGTAAGACTCTACTTTTTAAATGTTTTACACAGGAGCAGACAGAGCCTGTACCATACACACCTATAAATGTGTATTAAAAAAAGCAACGAATTGGTCATCAATAACAGACCGCGATTTACTCAATCGCTTTGTCTTATTGCCTAAGCAAAATGGAACCAATATATCACGCTTATGAAAAGAAATATTTCATGTCATTAGTATGGTGTAGCAAAATCTTGATTCATCCTTGGCCAGTACAAATGAGGACTAGATAATTAAAATTCTAAACTTCACCGAAAGAAACACAACATGGTTAAATACGTTTTAATTCTGGTATGTTAACATAAGTTAAACTAAGAAACAGAGAAGAACATCGCTGGTACTTGAATATGAAACGCAGTCTGCTAAAGAGTTCCCGTGGTGAGAGCAATCGAAAAAATGACCGCATGAGATTTTTTGTTTAACCAAATTCTGAATTGGATCGTCACTGAAGCAGGTTTGGAAAGGCCATGTGAAAACTAGCGGGAGCGCACCCCTTATCCTGGTGTTATCAGGATAAAACCTACACACGAGTTTATAGATGAGAAATGAGAATCAAGAAATGAGGATCAAAGTAGCACTGAAACTTGGACAATGATTAAATTATTGTAGAATTTAACAAAAATGAATTGGTTATGCTATTCTGCTGCTTACTGTATAACAGCAAAGACGCGATCATTCGCGTGTTAACCGCCGTGCCCAGCAACTTGCACGTTTAGCTTTTCGTGTGGTTTAATAAACAAAAATAAAATACTTGTTACAGTTCTACAAAAACAACACCTGTATTGCATCGTCGCCTTTTGTTTTTGCTTTAAAATTTAAGTTCATAAGCTATTACGTCGTAAAATAACCTCCGTAATCTTTTACGTCTTTTAGGTCTAAGTATAAATATCTTACCTTCTTCTAAAAGTATTGTTTTATTGAGGTTAATACATTGCACGGTACCAACATAAGACCCCCCGTTTACGGTTAACTTCACTCGCTTCTTCTTGAATTGATCCAAGAAGTGTTGGTCGTTTGAGCAGTCCATTTGCTCTGTGAAGTCTGAATGAACGATCAGAAATAGTCTTTTAGTCTCTCGTTTGACAAACCTGTTGATGCGTTTTAGTATTGCAATGGCATTGATTTCACTAATTTTATTTGTTCCTGAATTCTTTAGCGCAGGTTCTGCATCCGGCGAGCATGAAGCGGACTGGCGCTGCCAAGAACCAGGAACTGAGGACTGGAAGACTTGGTGCGACGTTCCACATAATGCACGTGGTTTGAAGAAAGCGTGCACAGGGCTAACGAGATAGGACTGGCAGGTATATTATTTTGCATAGTTATTTTACAAACAGGGATCACATTTACGTTTTGATTAATACTGTTTTCATAACTAAGTAACAGGACTCCAACTGCACAGTCTTTTAGGCCTTTGTGTGGGCGACACTGCAATACCTTAAGAATCTATTATCAATTAGTGTACAGTCTCACAATTAAATGATTTTTTGGCTACACATTTAAAATGAACTGAAGAGCAATTTGTACCAGAATTTAATTTTTATAAAATACCTTTTGGTTATTGTGTCAGGTTTTAAGAACATTTCACGGCCTTAGTCTGTCCAGTCGAATTCGTGTAACATAAGACAATCGCTGTATTTTAAATGTTAATAATTTTTTTCCAAAAATAGAAAACACTTTGTACATCCGGTTTTTTAATTGTAAAGTTTTTCATTTTTAATTTGTTATTTTACTTTATAACGATGACATTGTTAGAGTATATGAATTTAAGAAGATGCTTTGCATAGGGTGTAGTAAAGCCAGTTTTAAGATTGTGTAACTCAATAAATACTTTGTATAGTACGATATTCATCATTCATTTCCTAACCTCTAGCCAGTACAAGGGCCCTGGAGCCTATCCTGCAAAGCATCAGATGCGATACAGTTTGAACAGGACACCTGTCCACTGCAGGGCACACACAGACCATAGGATAGATAAGATCACTTTATTGGCCATATACAATTTCTTGTATAAGTAATTTGTCTTTTTGCATACCCCAACTTGCTCTACATGAGACACACAGACAGGGAGAGAAGCTTGGGGTCAGAGCACAGGGTCAGCCATTTATATGGTGCCCCTGGAGCAGGTGGGGTTAAGGGCCTTGCTCAGGGGCCCAACAAAGTAGGATTCCTCTGCCGGCCGCGGGATATGAACCGGCAACCTTCCAGCTACAGGCGCAGATCCTTAGCCACAGAGCCACTGCATCTGCCCACCCCCATCGACCATGGCCAATTTTACAGAAAATAATTAACCAACTAGCGTATATCTTTGGACTGAGAGAGGGACAGGATGGAGGGAAAGCCACACAAACACAAACATACAAACTCCATCCAGATACCCCAGGACCTGAACCCTGGGCCCCTTCGCTGTGAGGCAGCAATGCTAATCACTGCAGGCAGCTTCAGATTCATTAAAGCTCAATAAAAGATAAAGATTCAAAAAGGATTATACCTGTTTGCCCTGTTTCATGGTATTGTACAAAACATTATTACAAATGAACTTCATTTTCAGACAAAAGGAGTTGAAAGCAAATCTGCTTCCTCTGTAAACTGTGTACGCATGTGTAAATCTGCAGATATTTGTTACGTTTTGTTAGAAACCAACACCCAGTGTGGTTTTATACTTTTGCTTCCTTTACCTTTTAACCTTGTTTATCCACTGTGGCTATTTATAGACTGAATTTGTATAAACATTTACAAATTCTGCTCTCAAAACTTAATGCTTACAGCTGCTTTTGTGTGATAGTCGAAATTAGCACCTTTCGGTGAGAGCTAAAATAAGGAAGTGCAAGGTTGCAGCTTTTATACAATCTGCTGAAGACACACTTGCTTTTCTGAACATGTAGAATTACAAAGAGCTTCTTTCTGGCTGTGCTAGAGGAGCCTGTGACCAACACTGAAGGCTTAAGCTTCCTGTCTATTGTAGCATTGTAATACAGTACAAGCAGGTGTAGTCATTTATTTAAATGAGGAAAGTTAACTTCAAATACACATCTGTTACTTCCCAGGCAGCCAGTTTAGAATAGGATTAAAATTGAATGCTTTGTGAGATGGCGAAATTGTACAAGTGTCCACGTATATAACGAAGCAAACAATACAATTGACACATAAAATAGGGCTAATTTGTGTTATTTACAAAAAAGGGTGCCAGATTAATTACTTTTGAGGATCCATATCAAATATTTTCTTTGTGTAAAAAAATAAAGTCAAATGAATATTGTAGTGTAAATATTTTCCTATGTGTATTTTTAAATTAGATGTGTACTGGAGTAAATGTTATTATTATCTGCAACCCCAGAAATGTGGTACATGTAGTCTATATCCAGACCTCATATCTTTTTCATTTAGCTGTGGTTTTAGGAAATGCCTTGGGTATATCATACATTTGCCGGTGTCACTAAAGGGCTTGGCAAGCCTTTCTGTCACTTATCTGCGTGCCAGAGCAGAAGGGGTTTTGTGGAGAGGATCTGACCATTTTCAGTTTTTATTCCCCAGCCAAATTGAACTGAACTCCTTCCAAAATATCAGCAAGACAGTGCCACCAGCGATCCATCTTATCAACATCAGCAAGACAGTACTACTTATGTAATTCCTCTTATCAAGCATGTTCTCACAGGGAGTTTCTGACTGTGCTTGTCTCTCCAGGTAGATCTCTAGCTCCAAATACACATTCAAACTGAGAATTTTTTAACAGGACATGCTTTAACTGTAGCAGGATGTAACTGCGGCAATGGATGTTTTTGGTGACGTTTCTTATCATGTTCTTTAGAGTTACTAAACCCTATTAATTCTTGACATACAGTAGCATGACAGTAGCCTTCATGATATTTGCTTTTATTTTTCAGAAGTGCTACCTCTTTTCTGTATCTCTGTTAACATGTTCTCTTGACGTTTCAGAATGTGGCATTGTTTAACATGCTATTAAGAATAGCAGCATTGTTTACTGCAACTCTTAACCCACACATTGATTTTTACAACAAATCCCAAGGTTTTATACATAGCACACTATAGTTTCTATCATGCAAATTCAGTGTCTGCTGTTTTGTGGGTGCATTTCTAAGTAGTTGCACTCCGAATGAATACACTGAGTTAGAAATTGTTACATGAAAGGACTTGCCCAGACCCACATTTGAGGTCATCTTACACTTTAAGCTTTTTAATTATGTCATTTTGTTTCCAGCAACCGTGTGAAGAATCCAGAAACCAAGTAGATGATTTTTATGTTGCAATTCTAAAGAGTTTGGTTGGTAACTTCCCTTATGGTGGCTCAGAAAGTGAATGATACAACTAGACATTCAGTGAGAAAAGGTGACAGTGTCTTCAAACAGAAAGGGAACTTCAGTAGCACTAGGGAACTATTGAGTTTCACTGTATTAGTCTGGGTATCACAAGTTGTCAACCACTAAGCAAAACAGCTTTACACCACAGACATTTAGTTTGCTTCATCTCGTTGTGAAAGAGACTGCATTAGTAAGAAGAGCCTGATCTGGGAGAGAATGGTAAATGTTCGAAAAGGTAAGATAAGACTTTTAAAGTTTCGTGCAGGACGGTTATTTGGTCTCTTTCAATCATTTTGGTTCCTGTGATATTTTGAAACCTACTTTTCCTTTGACAATTGTTGGAAGTAAAACCTGTAAATAATGTATGATCTGTAAGTTAAACTTCCTTTCATTGTTGTTGGTTTTTTTTTGTAACACTTGCAATGGTGAAATTAAATATAGACTTGTTTTTTGGACTAAAGTTATATTTGGAACAGATCAAAGGCTTTCTTACTCACATTTCCCCTTTTAGGTTAAATTTTTACATTTGAGACCTCCAGGATCTTTTTTTTTAGACTTTTCCCGCATATGCTTTATATCTTCATTTCTGAACCTAATGGAGAAAGTGGTGCTTTCTTTCTTGTCTTTTCTTTCTGAAGTTGTCTTCCTTGTGACTAAATGATCGTATGTTTTGGTAGGTGCAGATAATTTACTGACAACAGGGATATGAAGAATGTAGTGCTCACTACTTTTTTAAAAGAAAATGGAATTGGCAGTGTTTATTCCGTTGCAGTTTTTGAATTTACCATTTCATAATTAACTTGATTATAGGGCTAAATCTCTCATAACCCTCAGCACAGATACTGTACTTCTACGTTGTACAGAACCAGGGGTTAAGAAAAAATATTTTTATAGACAAACCTACTTCTAGGGGAATTCCGGTTCCTGTTGATAATGACATATCCCTATCCCAAACCTAAACCACCAAAGTCTGCACTACAGGACATAACCCACATTTCACCTTTACTGATTCACATAGAAACTGTTGAGGAAAAATATCCCGTGTACAGCAGCATTCTGACGTAATTAAGAGAACATTTATTTCCCAGAAAATTAACCTTTGCTTGAAATGCTGGCCTCTCTGACAAATGTTAGGATTCAGGTATTCTACAGTGATGCTGTTTTAATAGTCGTTTCCTTCAGTGAACATATGAAATATATGAAGTATCATCTGTCAGTGTAGAATTGAAAAAGCATTCAAAAACTAGTTGTTTCATAATAAAAAGCTTTCAGAAACTGGTGAAAACCTTAGAAATAATGGTTATAATTAACAAGAATCATCAGTTTTGTTTAGATCTGAGGATTCCTGCACAGTCTACACTGCTAAACAGCCTTAATAGGAAAGGAATACATTAAAGAGAGTCTGTTCAAGCTATCATACTGTATGTAGTTGTCTAGCTGTCTGAATTGTTAGGGTAAATAAACTATTTGGTTCTCTCTTCCATTTTTTCCAGTTGTGTTTTCTGTTATTCAACTGTGAGCTATTTTTAAAATAGATTCTTTATCTTGGAAAAATTATCAACATGTGCTGATAAATCACTTTTTATTTGAAATTAAATTGCTGTGCTTGTAGAGTTTCTTCATTATTTTTCTTTCTATTTTTCACAAATGTTTCTGTTCAGTTTTTCTGTTGTGCCTTGTCATTTAATTTTACTAGTCTTCAGTAGTTAATGAGTTTCTAGTTATGGCTGAATGTTAAATACTATTCTTAGCTTACCCCAGTCTTCATATACTGTGAGTTATTTATAGAAAAAGACCTTGAGTTATTTTAAATTATGAGAACGGTTGCTACAGGAACTTAATTGACTCATAGCATGTAGAATACCAAGATATAGACCTGACATATTTTACGGAGTGCAGAATATGCAGTGTCAGGCTTAGAACCGAAA